TCAGCCTGCCCTTCTCCTCTTCCTTCTGACCCACTCCCCCTGCCCCTTCTCTTCCTTCTGCCCCATTCCCCCTCCTCAGCCTGCCCTTCTCCTCTTCCCCCAGCTCCCTCCTCAGCCTGCCCTTCTCCTCTTCCTTCCATCCCCTCCTCCACAACTTCTTCCACCCCAGCCTGCCTCACTCCCCCTTCCTCCTCCTGCCCCTCCGTTCTCCCCTTCCTTCTGCCCCAGCCTGTCTCACTCCCTCTTTCTCCTCCTCCTCTCTCCCTGACCCAGCCTGTCTCACTTCTCCTCCTCTGTATCACAGTCTTCCCCCCTCCTCTTCCTTGTGTCCCCTCTGTGTCCCCAGCCCTCCCGCTCCTTTTTCCCCTGCCTGTCCCACACTCCCATTACTCCTCCTGCCTCTCTCATTTTCCGCCAGTCCCCTCTCTCCTCTTGTCTCCATTCTCTCTTCTCCAACCCCCCCCACATATATTCTTCCTCCCTTTAATCTCCTTTTCCTCTCTCCCCACACCCCCTCTGTCATTCCCTCTTCCCCTTGCCACCCATCCAGCTGTTCAATTAATCCAGTCTATCTTTGTGTCTGATGGTGAGTGTTATCTGCTGCTGCCTGGCATGAGGTCGGGCTCTGAGATTCCCACCTGCATATTCCCCTCGTAATGGCTTTGCCGGGGAGCAGCAGGTAAGTAGTGTTGGCTGTATTTGCATTAGGACAGTGCTATTCTTTTATTTATTGCTCACAAGCAGCTAAAAGAGAAGGGGTCAAAGCTTTGATCAGTTCACATCTTTTAGCGTGTGTCTTAAAATATGGGGGGATGCTGGGTTTTTAATACTGCTCAGAACAGACTGGTGACAGAAGCTAGTGTTTAGACATAAGTATGCACAAATCTATGCTTCATTTCAAATATGCATTGTTTTCCATTTATAGTCCTTCAGGGTGGTCCTAAAGGAGCAGTTATTCAGCTTTTTAAATAGTTTTAGGCCAAACTTTTAATAGTGGGGTTGTATCTCATTCAAGGAGTGAAAGCTCTACAATATAGATAAGTACAAGTAATCATGTTTTCCTTCTGTTGTTAGTTCCAGAGAGTCAGGTATTAAATGCCTGTGATTTCATAAGCACTGGGGAGACACATAACAGTATTTTGAGGACACGTTCCCTCTTTTCTCATACTGTTGTCTTCCTGAAGAGGAGAATAACAGGAAATAGAACTTGTCCTCCTAAGTATTTTGGTGCAGGTTTGTTGCTGTAGATAGTTGTGACGTCTACAAAAGCAGTTAAAATAAATGTTGATGTCTTATAGCCTGTGTTTGCAGAACACAAGAACATATTTCATGTTTCATGCTGATTTACATAGTCATTTTTACTAAAATAGACTTTCTCAGAGTACGTTGACATTTTTGTAAACACAAGTCGCCGTCTTACCCTATTCTGAGTGATGCTGCTGTTATAATTTTTAGCTATAATAGCTTGACTGTACAAGTCAAACCTGCAGTGTTTTGTTGGTGGTGTCCCTGCAAGCACATTTGATCCTTTACAACCTTCATTAATATTCATTTTTAAAATTGAACTAATATTTCCCTTTGTGATCTTAACTCCTCCATTCTCAATGAAATTGTGGGATGCTCCAGTTAAAGAACATGATCCTGCAGTCCTTATTCAGGCATCATATTTCCTACTGATGTTAGCGGGTATTGAATAAAGAGTGCAAGATCTGACCCATTGTGGGATCATTCTCACAATCATGAGAGACTAATCTGTTACTATCCTATAACTAGAGGTATCTTACTGATACTTATGATGGCTATATAGTTGTAGTTAAATGAATAGTTACTCCAATACATAAACTGATAGGCTGTATGCTTTGAAACACTGTATTCAGCACTAAAGGTGCAATACAGTTTTATTTCTTTAAGGACAAAAAAAATGGTTTGTCTTAAAATCACTAAGTATCTGAAATAAGAAAACAGATCTCTGTTTTCTCTTCTTGTACCTTTAACAATATGACCCATTTTATTCATGCTTCCAAGAAAAATTGCTTATAGGCTGAAACCTTTTATGTCCAGTTTTATTCTGCAGTTGTATTATCAGTGCCTGGCGGAGGGAAATAATTTTTGTATTGGAAGTGTTATTGGGCCCTTTGAAATAGTCACATCATTGGTGCTGTCATGTTTGAGTCAGTGACAGTATTAGACTCTAGGCTTCCTTTATATTTTTTAGTATTCTCAGCTCTCATTGCGGAACTTTGTAGAAGCTGTGCAGAGACATGGTTTTCAGTGGGGATATGGGGTAATATGTGTTCTAATAAATTATTATAGTAGGAACTCCTAATCAGGTGAGTGGGAAGGTAAAACTACTCTCTTCAACTCATAAATTTCTTATGGGGGCTGAGGAAATTTCATGTCAAATGTTTTAAAACAATTCAGTAGTCTTATGCATAGTGTCTTTCATAAACATTTCAGTGCTTTCATCTAAAATGCTTTATACTGTAAAGGGTGCTTTAAGTACAAAATCAGGTTACAGCTAATCTTGCTGAAGCTGAATCCATATAAGATTGATATGATGATGTTAGGTTAGGAAAGCCACCAGAAAATATGGTGATAATTGTGCCTGCCCGCCATTTGTTGTTAAAGTACAATCTGAGGGTTTTATTGGATCCTCAGCTGCTGTTAAAAAAAATTGTATAGCAGTAGTTTTTCTATTAGGCTTGTTTCGTCTTTGCTTGGCCAAGAGGGTGCATCCGTTTTTTTCCAGACCTTGCTACCATCATCTATGCATTTGTCGTCTGAGTATTAGATTATTGCAGGGCACACTACACGGGGCTACACTTTAAATCTACCTGGATGCTGAAGCTTGTGCAGATTGCAGTATCTGACTTATTAATTGGTGTAAACTTGCTGGGAGCATGATAGCAGTGCTCCATGATTTGCCTATGTGGTTGCTGTGTGGAATTTAAAGACTTGGTCTTGCTCTATAAGGCCCTGAATGTCTTGGTACCTGCCTACTTGAGCTACTGCTTCTCTCCCTGTGCCACATGGCCACTGCTGTTTAGTCTGAAGAGGCACTTTTTTTTGGAGCTCCTTGAATATAAAAGAGAGGGAACTTCTGGTAGGGCATTTTGCATGAGCATCCCTGAACTTTGGAACCTACTTCCCACACACATGCACATACTGGATATGAAATAGCCCCAATATTTAATCTTTGGGCATGGTGCAAAGCCCATCTACCCAGGGTTTTGGTGAAGAAAAGGGCAGGGTAAGAATCAGGATTTCTTGTTGGGTAGAAGGTATCATCTGGGTTTTGATTTTATCTCTAGTAAATTATTTTCTGGTGTAGGGGTGAGAGGTAGTTGCTGGTTCCATTTTTTAGTGGAATTGTATCTATAATGTATTACAGAGGCACCCAGAGATAAGGTTAGGTACTTTTAGAATCTGTAACATAAATCAAAATAAATAGTTAGAACTGAGACAAGTAAACGGAAACAAGGGAATTGGGAGTTAATGCTATGTTTAACTGGGTTTATTTCAGAAGTAAGTCAACAGTGTCCCACCTTCAGTGGAAATGAAAGTGTTAAAGTGAGATGTGATGGCCAAAATAATGAGTGAAAGATGAAGATGAATAAAGATGAATGTGAACAGCAGTTGATCAATGAGAGATACAAAAATATATTCCGTTATTTATGTATCTAATAACTAGGACTGGATGACAGGGGATGGATGATTACCTGTTCTGTCCATTCCCTCTGAAGCATCTGGCACCACCCGCTGTTGGAAGACAGGATACTGGGCTAGATGGACCATTGGTCTGACCCAGTATAATTGTTCTTAACTTAAGTCATTTGTTTTAAAAAATCTAAAAAAAAAAACAAAACTAAAAATACTAATAAAAAGAGATGACAGATAAATATAGACCATTCAAATAATATGTTATCTAATGTATACTAGTTATTGAAATGTAAGCAGTCTGAAACTGGGTAGTAGTTAGGAAAAATTATTTAATAGATTTGAATGCTATAAGTTACATAAAAATATCAACTTCCACAATTATGACTGAAGCTAATCTTTTTGGTTAGTAGAATACCAGGGGTGGGGTTGTCATTTAATGAGAGGAAAAATCAGATGGAGACACTTGGATTTTTGTATTTGAGTAGAGAACTGTCTAAATAATTAATCACATGGAAACTATAACTAACAACTTGATTAGAAAGGTTTTGGAGGGATTGGCAGTGCAGTGCAGACAGACATTCATGGTGGCTGTAGAAAAATAATATTTTAGTAAAACAACACTCAAGTTATTTAGAACAAGACTTCCCTGTGTTTGTTATGGCCCTGATCCTACTGCTTCTGAAGTCTATGAGAGTTTTGCCATTGACTCCAGCACACACGATCAGGCTTTATCTCTTTGATATTTTTCACTGGCTGGTGATTGTTGCCTACTGTCTGATTGGGGGCAGCATTTTCTTTGTATAAATGCATCTGCTAGAAGATGTTGCTTTTAGTTGAGATCCTGAAGTTGATGTCAGGACACAGTGTAGCAATGACCCTGTAGGGGTTTTAAAGCTATGATGATGTCTGATAACCTTCAGAATCCAGTGGCCTGACATGAACCCTGTTTTATCCATTCATGTTGTTTTGTCTTGTCATTTATTTAGGAGGAAGAGTTTCATGTTTGAGTTTTGTCAGCTGTATCTGCTTTTTAACATGCCTAAGGTATATCCACTTTACAAGAAAGCCTCAGTAGACAGGAGACTCTAATCTTGTGTGTATAATTATCTGCCGGTTGTTGTGTCTGTTCATCTTTGTAAATGTAAAGTTCTCAGAGCTGACGTGCATAACTTGGTATACTGAATAGCTTCATTTAACATTGCCCGGTAGGTAAAAGTATACTCTCTATCTCTGCTGCCTTTCTCTTCTTTTCTTTTTCCTTTAGTTGCATTTCAGTCACTAATGGAAGTACACCTACATGGCATTATTTAGTTAGAAAGTCTTCAGTTTATGGATAGGATAGTTAAGTGTACAGTACCTATCCAAGGTACTTATATGACCCCAATCACTATAATATCTGAGCACCTTAGAATCTTTAAAGTAGTTATCCTCACAATGCCTCTGTGACTTTATCTTATTTTTACAAATAGAGAATTAAGACCTGGTCTGTGGTAGAAAATTAGATCAGTTTAACTGTGTCGGACAGGGGTGTGAAAAATCCACACCCCTGAGCGGGGTATTTAAAACCAACCTAAGTCTCCATATACACAGAACTAGGCCAACAGAAGAATTCTTCCATCAACCCACCTACTGCCTCTTGGGGAGATGGGTTACCTATGCTGACAGGAGAATACTCCCGTTGGTTTGGAAGTATCCTCACAGAAGCACTGCAGTGATGCAGCTGTGCTGCTGTAGGCCTTGGCTACGCTGGCGCTGTACAGTGCTGCAACTTGCTGCGCTCGGGTGTGAAAAAACACCCCCCTGAGCGCAGCGAGTACAGCGCTGTAAAGCGCCAGTGTAATCGGAGCCTGCAGCGCTGCACGCTCACTCGCAGCGCTGCAAGCTATTCCCCTTGGAGAGGTGGAGTACATACAGCGCTGTGAGAGCTCTCTCACAGCGCTGACAGCGTGACTACACTTGCGCTTCACAGTGCTGCCGCAGCAGCGCTGGGAAGTCCCGAGTGTAGCCAAGGCCGTAGTGTTTTAAGTGTAGACAAGCCCTGAGGCATGCAGAGACTGAGGGCCAGTTTTTTAGAAGGTATTTAGACACCTATTTCAATGGGATTTAGTGGCTTGCTCAACTTCACACAGGAAATAAGTACAGAGCTGGTAATTGAATGTGGGTCTCCCAGATCCCCAGCTAGCCATTGCACCATCCTTTCTGTCCTTTTATCAGGCCAAGTTCAGATCTGGTTTTGAGAGGTTGCAGCTCCAGGTACTCCTTGCATAGTCATATATTTTGAGTATCAATTGCCTGACAAAATTAGTCTGCAGCAGCAGATGAAACTGGGAAAATAATATTCTCTTTGGGGCAGTGCAACCTTTTCATTATGTGTATCTACAGTGCCTACCACAACAGGAGCCTGATCCCTGATTGGACCTTCTAGGCACTACTGAAGTTCAAATGCTAATTGTTCATCATATATGTATAGGGATGTAAATGAAAACTGGGCCAATGAATCTATTAAACTTACTCTCCAGGCCTGTAGTTCCTATTCTCAAATACTAGATATTGTTGAGTTTTTAATCAAGAGTGCTCTAATCGAATACTTTTCACAAACTTCTGGTATAATAATAATTATAATATATGGAGATATCCTATCTCCTAGAACTGGAAGGGACCCTGAAAGGTCATCAAGTCCAGCCCCCTGCCTTCACTAGCAGGACCAAGTATTGATTTTGCCCCAGATCCCTAAGTGGCCCCGTCAAGGATTGAACTCACAACCCTGAGTTTAGCAGGCCAATGCTCAAACCACTGAGCTATCCCTCCCCCTTCCTGTATATTTCCCCTACTCGACATAAAAGGTATGTCTACACAGCAAATGGGCGTGAGCCTTCCAGCCTAAGTAGACAGGGTGAGGCTAGTGTGCTAAAAATAGCTGTGTGGATGTTGAGGCGTCACCGGCAGCTTAGGTTTGCCACCTGAGCTTGGACCCAGGAGGTAGGGTGGGTCTGAGCTCCGGCGGCGGGTCTGAGCTCGGGCGGCTGGGCCGAGCCTCCTCCAGTGCCGCAGTGTTCACACAACTATTTTTAGGGCACTAGTGCAAGCCCTGCTGCCATATATCTGTCTACCCAGGCTGCCAAGTCCATACTATGCCTGTGGGAAATATTTTCTAGTAAAATGAAGTGACTCTCCAAAATTCCACAGTGGAGTTACATCAGGGATGAATTTGGCCCATTGATTAAATGTAAACATCTTGCTAGCCTATTAGTAGTGCTGTGTAGTTCTATATGAGAGACATAGGTTTCATTTATCATCTGACTCTCTTGCTCGCTCACTAACAGAAGAGGAGGGAACTCAGCATGCAGAAGTGCCAGCATGCTCAGCCCCTCAGGGAATGCAGAGTGATGGGGTGTAATACTGGGTAATTCTCATGATGAGAATGGATTTGATGGAGAGAGGAAGCGTATGCCTTTTCTTTCCCTTCTTTGTATTCACCATCTCTGTCAGTTTTTAAACCGTGGAGGAGAGGACACATATCCTGATTTTGGTATGGAAAAAACCGACAGACCTGGAGTGCTTTTATATATATATATTTATATTTATATATATATATATATATATA